AAAAAAAAAAAAAGGCGACGAAGCAGCCAAACCTTGCGGGGCAAGTTTAAAAATAATAGAAGGCGCGACGAACTTCCGCTGCGACGCTTCGGACGGCCAAAACATCCCAACATCGCCAGCTTTCGCCCTCGTTCTCCTTGCCGCTCGCTCCAAGAGGTGACGGTTGTCTTCAGGTACGTCTGCTGGCCATTTTCGACGGGCTGCCGCAGCGACGTGGTGGCCGTCAATGGCTGGGAACATGTTCGCCCGCTGCTCGCTCTGCCCCACTGCGGTCTGCTCTAGGGCCCCCCTCCGCCAGGCCGATGCCGCGGCTTCACGCTCTCGTTATAAGAGGAGATGAGCCGGGCATACAGAGAGGACGATGGAGATGATATCGATGCTGACTGTTGTTTTTTCTTTAGAAGAATCACTCTATATCGAATCGAACAGGAGAAAAGAGAAACAAGCTACACCGAAAACCGGAGAGTATCTATATAGATAAGCGGCGTGATATCAGGACTCGCCATCGTCCTCAGACACCTGATACCCCCGTTGATACGCGTCTATATATATATATTCTCTCTATACAAACATGGCTCCAGCTCCCGTGCCTATGCCAGACGTCAATGCCACGGCTGTCCGCGAGGACGCCGTCGAGGAAGATGTCATGGAAGACCACCACCCGTCCAACTTCCAGGACTCCGTCCACAGCCGTCTACGGGCCAATTCCTCCATCATGCAGTTCCAGAAGATCCTCGTCGCCAACAGAGGAGAAATCCCCATCCGTATCTTCCGTACAGCCCACGAACTCTCCCTACAGACTGTGGCCATCTTCAGTTACGAGGACAGGCTGAGCATGCATCGCCAAAAGGCCGACGAGGCGTATCAGATCGGTAAGCGGGGTCAGTACACGCCCGTGGCTGCCTACCTGGCCGGTCAGGAGATTGTCAATATCGCCTCGCAGCACGGCGTCCACCTCATTCACCCGGGATATGGTTTCTTGTCTGAGAATGCCGAGTTTGCCCGTGCTGTCGAGAAGGCCGGCATGGTCTTCGTCGGTCCTACTCCAGAGACTATCGATAGACTCGGCGATAAGGTCTCTGCTAGAAAAATTGCCATAGAGTGCAAGGTCCCCGTCGTGCCCGGTACCCCCGGACCGGTCGAGACCTTTGACGCTGTCAAGTCCTTCACGGATGAGTACGGCTTCCCCATCATCATCAAGGCTGCCTTTGGTGGTGGTGGCAGAGGCATGCGTGTCGTCCGTGACCAGGAGTCACTGCGTGACTCCTTCGAGCGTGCTACCTCGGAGGCCAAGACTGCTTTCGGCAATGGCACCGTCTTCGTAGAACGCTTCCTCGATAAACCAAAGCACATCGAGGTCCAGCTGCTCGGAGACAATCACGGCAACGTCGTCCACCTGTACGAGCGTGACTGCAGTGTCCAGCGCCGTCATCAGAAGGTCGTCGAGCTTGCTCCGGCCAAGGATCTTCCCATTGATGTTCGAGACAACATTCTTGCCGACGCCGTCAGACTCGCCAAACATGTCAACTACCGCAACGCCGGTACCGCAGAGTTCCTGGTCGACCAGCAGAACAGATACTACTTTATCGAAATCAACCCCCGTATCCAGGTCGAGCACACCATCACCGAAGAAATCACAGGCATCGATATCGTCGCTGCCCAGATCCAGATCGCCGCTGGCGCTACCCTAGAGCAGCTCGGCCTCACCCAAGACCGCATCTCCATCAGAGGTTTCGCCATCCAATGCCGTATCACCACTGAGGACCCTACGAAGGGCTTCCAGCCAGATACCGGCAAAATCGAGGTCTACCGCTCTGCAGGTGGTAATGGAGTCCGTCTTGATGGCGGTAACGGCTTTGCCGGCGCCATCATCACCCCTCATTATGACTCCATGTTGGTCAAATGTACCTGCCATGGTTCCACATACGAAGTCGTACGCCGAAAGATGCTTCGTGCCCTCGTTGAGTTCCGTATCCGTGGTGTCAAGACAAACATTCCCTTCTTGGCTTCGCTGCTAACACACCCTACCTTCATCGACAGCCAGTGCTGGACCACCTTTATTGATGATACCCCAGAACTATTCTCCCTCATTGGCTCTCAGAACCGTGCCCAGAAACTCCTTGCGTACCTTGGTGATGTTGCAGTTAACGGAAGCAGCATCAAGGGCCAGGTTGGCGAACCTAAGTTCAAGGGCGAAATCTTGAAGCCCATCATGCGTGATGCCGATGGCAAACCGATCGACCTCAGCTCTCCCTGCAAGGAGGGATGGAAGCAAATCATCGATGAAAAGGGCCCCGCTGCCTTTGCAAAGGCTGTTCGTGAGAACAAGGGATGTCTTATCATGGACACCACTTGGCGTGATGCCCATCAGTCCCTGCTAGCAACTAGAGTTCGTACCGTTGACCTGGTCAACATTGGCAAAGAAACTAGCTATGCTTTCAGAAACGCATACAGTTTGGAGTGCTGGGGGGGTGCTACCTTTGATGTCTCCATGAGATTCTTGTACGAAGATCCATGGGACAGACTCAGAAAGATGAGGAAGGTCGTTCCAAACATTCCTTTCCAGATGCTGCTTCGTGGCGCCAATGGCGTTGCTTACTCTTCGTAAGTTTTCCCCTTTATTCTATATGAAAGATGAGTACGCTGATACTTATGAACGTCTGTTATAGCCTTCCCGACAATGCCATCTACCACTTCTGTAAGCAGGCAAAGAGATACGGTGTCGATATCTTCCGTGTCTTCGACGCCCTTAACGACATCAACCAGCTTGAGGTTGGTATGAAGGCTGTAGCCGCGGCAGGTGGTGTTATTGAAGCTACTATCTGCTACTCGGGAGACATGCTTAACCCCAAGAAGAAGTACAACCTGGACTACTACCTTGGCTTGGTCGACAAGATTGTAGCCCTGGGAACTCACATCCTCTGTATCAAGGATATGGCTGGTGTCCTAAAGCCTCAGGCCGCCACGTTGCTTGTCGGAAGCATCAGGAAGAAGTATCCTGATCTTCCCATCCACGTCCACACTCACGACTCAGCCGGTACCGGTGTTGCCTCCATGGTTGCCTGTGCACAGGCGGGCGCTGACGCCGTTGACGCTGCAACTGACAGCATGTCTGGCATGACCTCTCAGCCCAGTGTAGGTGCCATACTTGCCTCACTTCAGGGCACCGACCAGGACCCCAAGCTTGACATCCCCAATGTCCGTGCCATCGACACCTACTGGGCTCAGCTGCGTCTCCTCTACTCACCCTTCGAGGCTGGCCTCGCTGGACCCGACCCAGAGGTCTACGAGCACGAAATCCCCGGTGGTCAGCTTACCAACCTCATCTTCCAAGCACACCAGCTTGGTCTCGGTGCTCAATGGCTTGAGACCAAGAAGGCTTATGAACAAGCCAACGATCTCCTCGGAGACATTGTCAAGGTCACCCCTACCTCCAAGGTCGTCGGTGATCTAGCTCAGTTCATGGTCTCCAACAAGCTAAGCCCAGACGATGTGATTGCTCGTGCTGGTGAGCTTGACTTCCCTGCCTCCGTCCTCGAGTTCCTTGAGGGTCTCATGGGCCAGCCCTATGGCGGATTCCCCGAACCTCTCCGCTCCAGGGCTCTTCGCGATCGCCGAAAGCTTTCGGACCGCCCCGGTCTCCACCTAGAGCCTCTTGATCTAGCTAAGATCAAGGCCGAGATCAAGGATAAGTTTGGCAGCGCTACCGAATGTGACGTTGCTAGTTATGCCATGTACCCCAAGGTCTACCAGGACTACCGCAAAGTCGTAGCCAAATACGGTGACCTTTCTGTCCTACCAACCAAATACTTCCTTGCCAGACCTGAGATCGGCGAAGAATTCAGCGTTGAGCTTGAGCAAGGAAAGGTGCTCATTCTGAAACTGCTGGCTGTGGGTCCTCTGTCCGAGCAGACGGGCCAGCGAGAAGTCTTCTATGAGATGAACGGTGAAGTTAGACAGGTTACTGTTGATGACGTCCTTGCTACGGTTGACGACACCAGCCGCCCCAAGGCCGATCCCAGTGACAGCAGCCAGGTTGGTGCACCAATGAGTGGTGTAGTAGTCGAAATCAGAGCCCACGAGGGTGTCGAGGTGAAGAAGGGAGACCCAATTGCTGTTCTCAGTGCTATGAAGATGGTATGTTATTGCTCTTGTCCTCTCACCCCTTCCTTGATATCTACGGATAGAAATGCTAACTTGCTTACGATTAGGAAATGGTGATCTCTGCACCTCATCACGGAAAGATTGCCAGTCTACATGTCAAGGAGGGAGATTCTGTCGATGGACAGGACCTCATCTGTAAAATGACCAAAGCTTCCTAAAAAAAAAAGTCACGTCCGTCTTCTCCTGATGTATATGATGTTGTTTTATGTCCCTTAGTTACTATATATGGCACGTCCATAACTGTTCCAGATTACTTGCTCTATAATAGAAGAGCCATTTTTAACAAGCTTCCTTCTATTCCGTTTTACATCAAAGCTTAAATCACCATCAACTTGACCAACGAATGATATCGTTATTGTCATGGATGTTTGTTATCATGTTGTGCCAATCAGAGATGCATCCAAGAATGTGACATCATAACGCCCGTATGCGGCTTGACCTCGCGTGCACAAAATGTACCTCCTACATCACCAACAAGTACAACACTGCCAGCCAAGTCACATCTCCATGGCATATATAGAGCAGATGAAGTTGTATAGCTGGACTGTCATGCCTGTATTGGTGCTGTGGGTTGAATCCAGCCCCGTCATGACCTTGTTGCTACAATGCAAGCACCAGCCGTAACATATAGATCATCACAAAGTACCAACCTTCTACCGCCATGATACCTCAACTATAGCTTCAGCCTGTCCTGGATCGACCCTCGACCCTGGGACCCGGCCGGGCTTTGCCTTGGTCGATGAGGGGGCGAATAAGTTAAAAAGGAGCAGAAGGCCAGAGGCGATTCCCCCGCCCTTCTTCATCCATTCTACATGAGATGTCTTCGAGATAGTACACTCATCTGTACGAACACCAGCTATCAAGAGCAATATCCCGAATATATATCAAGATAAGACATGAGTGACCGTCCTGAGCGTCCACCGGTATGGGTTAGGGGCGGACCGCCTTACTTCTATCATCCTCGTCGACCATCTGCACCATCTGCACCATCTGAGGTTGCGAATGAAGAGTTGCGACGTGTAAGTCCATCCATCACCTCCTACAGCTGAAGTCGAATGCTAAGGTCAATATACTAGGCATCAACCACCTCCAGCATCCCATCTGTTACTGGCATCGTACCAGACCGATCCAGCTCGATCTCATCTACCACCTCCGCCACACAGAACGCTCAGCAAGCTGGCGTAGCATCGACTCTATTCCCCTTCATGGCCAAAGATCGTTCAGGCTCGATGTCGTCTGAGTCAGGAACAGGGCCTGAACGAGACCAGTCAAAGAGAAGAAGCTCGCATTCCGAAGGGAGCTATGCTGGGCTAATGACGCAGAAGCGAATGTCAGAAGACCCGCTCTTTGCTAGTAGGCGGGAGAGTTGGAGGGAGCAGGCTGCCAATTCTCGACCAGATGATAGGAGATTCCTTAGCCGTTGGTGGGATAAGTAAGTTGCCAATCTATATAACCCGCCTGTCGGTGTATGGGGCTTCGATAACTGATACATGGTTTATAGTTTTGTTAAAGGAGAGCGACAGGCACCTCCCAAGAACAAGTGATAGTTTTCTCTACCACGTCTATAAGGTGGATGGCGTAAAAATTTGACAAAAGCTGACCCAAATGGCGAGTTTTGGAGAACTTTGTTGAACCCAGGCTATTTCTTTGCAATAATGTGGTCAAGTGCTATGCTTTGAATTGAAAATTGATCAGCAGATTTACGAATATTTATGTAGTTCATACTTTGCAATATTCTGTTGATTTGCATTTACAAACAATTACGAACAACTATAACAGCATAGTAACCTTACCTTTGACATAGTTGTTGAGAGTCTATTACTAGGTGCATACGAGAAAGGGAAAAGAACAGCTTGGCCACTATAGCATCTCATGGGGAGCATAGTAACAAACAAGCTAAAGGCCGCCTGGTATGGGAAACGAAGACTCGTCTCTCATCCCAGAAAAGGTATGGCTAGACGCCAACATCCCTCTCAGCAATGGTTAAGCGGAACGACACCCTATGTGAAGCCTCCATTGTGAAACAGGGAAAGAGAGCCATTTTGAAATGTAAATTTTATTGTTGCATGTCGTATCATACTTGCTTGTTGAGTCTTCGTTGGAAATATGCCCCTAGAACACGCCTGTTATTTTTTAAAAAAGTAAAAAACAACCCATGCCCCCCACGACTAAGCGCAACAAGCAAAGAGATGTGGTTTGCGAGTGAGCAGGGTGCAAGGAACGGGGATGAAAGGGGAGATTCCTTGCAGCCTGAGAGAAAGAGTCTCTTCCGTTGCCTGTGATGAGGCATTATGGAGTAAAGGAGAGGGAAGAGAGGTAAAGGCGGAGAGAGAAACGGGGGAATTTTTTGTTTGATTTTGATATAATTGATTTATCGGACAATTCCCTCGAATCTGCTCTTAAACCACTTGATGGTCTCGGTCTGGTTGATACGGTGGGGGGCACCGATCTTGGACTTGCATCGTCGGCGCTTAGCGATACGCTCACCAGGGCGGGTCCTAATTAAATCAGATATGAGTAACCGAGAAACTTGGTATCTGGGCGTCAAGTTATAGCACTCACATGCAGCAGTAGAAGTCCATTCCGTAGATACCGATACCAGGGTCATACTTGATGCCCAAGTCGATGTGTTCGTTGATACCGAATCCGAAGTTTCCGGTCTCAGAGAAGTTCTTCTTCCTCAATTCGTATTCCTTGACCTTGAGGCCACGCTCAAGAATCTCCTCAGCCTTGGGGCCACGGACGGTAACGTGGACAGCAATCTTCTCATTACGTCGGATACCGAAAGTACGGACGGTGTAGCGGGCCTTGCCTGTCAAGTGCGCACACTCGCTTGTCAGTTTTTGCCTCTTATTTTCCAATTCCCACTTCACAACGTTGTTTCTGCCATTGATTCAACTCATTCCAGGGAGGTAGCCATACTGTAGACAGGGGTTTGACCGCTCAGCTGTTCCAACACCTTGGCTGCACGAGTAAGTCTGTCACCAGACTCGCCAACGGAGATGTTGAGGACGAGTTTCTGAATGCGGAGTTCCCGCATGGGGTTCGAAGATTTGTCGTTTCCCTCGGCCTGTGCCATGGTTAGTGATATGTCACTGTAAACACCGTCGACTGGGCCTGATATCGTACCATTGTGAGTGTTGCTGCTGCTGCTGTGCGTTCTGGCTGCGCGAGAAGAAAGTCGAAGTTGTTGAAAGTCGCAAAAAGTGTTTTTGTGTGCGCGAAAGCGAAAAAAACCCTACGCGGGCTTGGCGTCGGCGCTAAACCCAAACGGTCAAAGAGCGTATCTTCGACGCCAAAAGATCAAAAGTTGCAGCAAAGCAGAAAGACGGCGATAGAAGAGTTTGATATTCCTCACGACCAGGCTTCTGGTTGCTGCTGTGCTACAAGAACAGAGGTGTTGGAGCTCGGCGAGTCTGTGAAAACCCTCGGGTCTGGTTGAAAGTCGCATTCGTGCGCACCTGAGGCAGCATGGCTTCAAACAAGCAGGGGAAGATGGTGAGTTCATGGGAGCTAGAGCTTGGTTGATTTCAAGTTAGGATCGCTGACATATCTCTTTAGCAAAATCTCGTATGATAATCCTTGATGTCCTCTCCGTGAAATGCTGTATGCCTGCTTTCCAGAGGCCTCCGGCAAAGAGCTGACGCGCGCAAACCAGATCAATTATAGGATGAGGGTCACTTTGACAGATGGGCGACAGATGACAGGCCAAATGCTTGCATTTGACAAGGTAAGCTGGAAGCAGATAACCTGGGAGGAGATAGACGTGTGGTACGAGTGCATACTAACGGCATATCCCAGCATATGAACCTCGTTCTCGCAGATACTGAAGAGTTCCGTCGAGTAAAGAAGAAGTCGGGCAAGGGAGGGCAGGCCGCACCCGGCAGTAGCAGCACTGCCCAGTTGGTCGAAGCTGAAGAGAAACGAACACTTGGACTTACCATTGTACGCGGAACACACGTTGTGTCATGTTCAGTTGACGGCCCGCCGCCCGCAGAGCCAGCTGCCAGGCTAGGAACAACTGCTGCCGGTCTTGCGGGTGTCTCTGCTACACTCGCTGCTGGGCCTGGAATCAGCAAACCTGCGGGACGCGGCCTACCCGTTGGACTTGGTGGACCAGCTGCTGGCGTTGGAGGACCGCCACCACCTGCTGGATTTGGCACATTTCCACCCCCAGCGGGATTCCCCGGCGGACCGCCTCCTAGTTTTGGAGGTCGAGGCGGACCTCCTGGAGGACCACGTATGTGTATCTCTACCATTGTCCATTATCATTGTGCTGTGATTACTGACCACCTATATAGCTGGATTTGGACCACCACCGGGTTTCGGCGCTCCTGGAGCTCCTGGCGGACCTCGTAAGTAAATCGACATCTCTTTCCCCGTATTTTACTTGTATGCTGATTATACCTAGCTGGAGGATTTCAACCACCACCTGGCTTCCAGCCTCCGGGACAAGGAAGAGGCTTCCCACCAGGCATGGGCGGACGATGATACCAGCGCTTCTTGGAGTTATGAAACGCAGGCTGTTTTGACAACCGAGGGGAAATATTTGATTGCATGATTCCCTTACTCAGAATAAATGATGACAGGCTATTTTTTCCCTTCGTTTTCCTTCATCTCCTCGCATTTTCCTTTCTCCCATGGCGTTTGGTGGTATCGGTGAAATGGACGGCTAAAGGACCTCCTATTCTTGAGGCAGTAGTTTGAGAAGTATACTCCTGCTAGTTATATACTATCAAAAGATAATCTACACATTTCAATTCTTCCCTATATAACAAATAGACATCCCACACTATCATCTCCTTTTGACCCTACCTATTCTCCCCCCCAAGGGCCGGCCATTATTTTATCACGTGACTGGTCGTAACTTACTCCGGAAGTCGGAGCTTTTTCTTTTGGCTGAGCGCAACAACAGCAGTCCAGCAGAGACAAAACATCCAGAGAACCACAGGTTGCTGCACCCAAGGACACATCTCTGCTCCTTTGATCCCGACTGTCAGGAAGCGATCTGTATAGCTTCCGGATCCGCTTGCTTCCTGTCCTCGAAGTTTTTAAACCAACCGCCCTTCACAATGGCCGCCGCCATTAAAGCCATCAATGCAAAGATACGGTCCAACAAGGTGTTGGACTATGTCTGCTCAACACGTACGTTTCTATCGTCCTTTTCTAGTATTGCCTCCTTGGGTGTTTTGTTTCTTGATGATGGTGTTCTTGTGGCTCCTGATCTACCCCATCCGCAGTCTTATGTCTCAGCTATGGGCCAGATGCTGACACGGGGTTACCGCTATAGATTTCTGGGGCCCCGTATCCAACTTCGGTATTCCGGTCGCTGCGGTTATGGACACTCAGAAAGATCCTGAAATGTATGTCAATGGCGCACATTCCACTCCATAGTTCGTCCTCTGATACTCGAGTTGTCGGCTCTGTCACGTCGAGCGGCTACCTTCGCATCACGCCCATGCATACCAACCCACAGCCATTGAAATATCTAACCCACTCGTTTCTCTTGATATAGTATCTCCGCTCAAATGACCGGTGCATTGGTTATCTATTCTGGAACTTTCATGCGTTATTCTCTCGCTGTCACCCCCAAGAACTACCTTCTTTTCGGCTGCCACTTAATCAACTTCGGAGCCCAATTGACTCAGGGATACCGATGGGTGAACTACTGGAAGTACGTTTTGAATCATCTTTCCTCGGGTTTCCTTCATCAACTCGAACTAACTGTACCTCTTTTCGCATTGTAGATGGGGAGGACGAGAGGCTGTTCTCGCAAACAAGGCAAAGGATGCCGGTGCCGAAGCAGGAAAGGCTGCCGCCGAACCTAGTACTTCTTCATAAACGCGCTTAGTGGGTTTGTCGGTTATTTTCTTTTCTTCCTTTTATCCTTCATTGGCATATACTTGCTGCGCCGGATTTAATCGGATTGTACGTATTAGGCATACACGGTTTTGTTATCTTTGGTCATCTGTTTTAATAAAGATATATATTTCTCTTTTTTCCGAAATTAGCTACTTTCAAGAAGTGAAGATGAATTTATATTTTCGTATGGATTTGAATAAACCCACGAGTGCATCTGTCAAATATATGCCAATTATGTCTCATGTACAATATGAAGAAGTCAACATAGAAAAGAGATACGATGGGATCAATAATGATATTGCTAGGCCGCATACAACGGGTATCTATCAAATACTACCCGCATATCTAATTCTCCTGGAAGACCGACCTAAAGGTAAGAAACATGAGATTATCAAGCACATCTAAACCAGCAGGTTCCGAGAGAAGAACCGAGTCTTAGATGCAAAGAGTCGAAAGAGAAACCGGTAAAGAGGGCATCAATTTAGCAAAGGGAAACATGGGTAAGGGTAAGGGTGTTGGTTAGCGGGTAGTAGATGGAACCTATGCCATAAAGTAGCGAAAAATGGTTACGTAGTACCTGTTCCGAGGGAGGTAAGGGCGCAATTTACCAAAATTCCAGAGCCTTAAACAGGTGTCACCGAAATATGATACTCGAGAGATAGTGAAATAAAAAATGACGGTTATGAACAACGGCGCTTAAAAGGTCAAAAATGCAAAGTACTATTTGTTGCAGAATCCGGGGAGTTTGGCACCACCACCGCCATCTCCCCAGTTGGAGATGGCTAAAGCGGTAGTATAAACGCAGCATAGTAGTCCAAAGATGATAAGGCAGATGTCTAGAGTCTTCTGTAGATAGGTGATTGCGACGCCCTTGTAGTGAAGCAATGGCTAGACATATCAAAGTTAGTTTCAAATCACATGCGGGCTGGAGAGTAGCACGGATGAGGAAACATACCGGATAGACGAAGACGAGTGGCACACATGCGAAGCTGCCGATGAGGGAGACAAACTTGTCCAAGTCTCCAGCTCCACCCCAGGCAATGGCGGCACATACCAAGACAAGGAAGAAGCGGAAAATGTTCTTCTTCCATTTGATCCCAGGGTTGTATTTGCCGCTACGGGTAAAGAGGCCGTTCTCCAAAATTCTGATCGCGGGGAAAAGCTGAAGGGGAGTGCTCAATAGGATAGCAGCAGCATATAGGAACTGAATTGACCTGACGAAGTTATCCTGCTGTGGAAGATTGAGGATAACAACGGTCTCAGTCTTGGAGCCAAAGGTAGCGTAGCCAACAACTCCCATGGAAAGAAAGATTACAGTAATGATGACCATGACCAGGCCTAGTGCAGCGGGGAACTTCTCGGGACGTTTCATGGATTCCTGGATAGGGATAATGAGGCCAATTCCTTCAAAGGTGAAGATAGCAGTCCCGATAAGCAGGGTATATGATTTGGGGTTGAATGGCTGGATGTCGGCAACGCCCTTTTCCATGATGGTGCTGATTCCAAATCCGTACAGGTAGATCAAACCAAGTAAGATAAACACATCCGCAATTAGGGCTGTGAAGGCGAGTTTTGAAATGTCACGAACAAGGGAGAGAGGCAGGAAGATGACGAGCTGCATCAGAATTACGTATTGGATGCTCAAAAACGCCTCACAGTTGCTGACAGACACTATGAAGGCTTGGAGATTTTGCGAGACAAAGACGATATAGGCGGCAACGAAGCCAAGCTGGCTGAGAGCAACGGAGAATAAGATGATTTTCCTCATCTTATCTCCATATAGAATTCCTCCCATATCACCGAAGGAGCCATTGATCTTATTCCGGGTGTTGACAAGAAGAATGAAACAGAAATAGCTTAGGGCTGAAATAGCTACTAGTACGATGGAACTGAATAGCATTCCGCCATTTAAGAAAGCTCTTGGAAGGAAGAGGACACCAGTTCCGACGAACGATTTCAACAAGAGGAGAATGGCACCCATAGAAGTGTTTGTAGCTTTGGCAGCTCGTTCCTTAGGCACACGGCCTCCAGCGCTTCCTGGACGAAGCAGAGATGTCTCCTCTGAGGGCTCTTCTTCTCCAGGACCAGGCTTCCGTGTAAAGAACTCGCCGGGACCCAAGACTTCGTCATCTTCCTGAAGCTCCTCACCAGCGAAATGACCGAACAAGGTCAAGAACTCCAAAAAGCTGTTGGTTGCTAACTTGGGCTGGGCGAGCGCCTGTTCGGGATCTGCGGGGGCGGTGAGAGTGTTCTGCTCTCCTCCGGTTCGGCGTATGAAGTCTCGGCGGAAGCCACCAGGAACTCTGATTGTGTTGATATCCAAAGTTTCAGTTTCCGGTTCCGGCCTTGCGAGATCGAAGCTCTTTCGTCTCTTGGGGCCTTGTTGTCCTTGGGCCTCTGCTTCGGCCCATCTATAGATCGGTCGAGTGATATCACCGCCCTGAAGTTGTAAGCTGGAAAACTCCTCTCCGTCTTTGACTCCGCTTCCACCTGATTTCGTGGACTCGGCCTTTTTGCCATTTGTCTCAGTGGAGTCGGCTGACTCGGCTGGTGGTCGCACCAGATGTCGTTTAACGACTTCAGGATCTTCTATGGGTGCACCATTGGAGGAAGTCGTATTGGCCCCACTGGAGCCATTATCGTCCTGTAGAGCGCTTGTCAACGCAGATGGACGAGCAGTCTCGAGCGAAGATGGCACAACGGATGACGATTTGAAGTCAGTAGCGATATCAGACGGAGCAGCTTGTCGAGGAGTAGGTACACGCCTCAGCTGCAGGTCTCCTGTGTCTGTGTATGACGACGAAGGGATAGGAGAGGCCAGTCGGGCTGTAGTTATGTGTCTCGGGAGCGATCCTGGTGCCAGGCCCTCTGCCGGAGAGGTGCCGCTGACAGCTCGACCACGAGGAGACTCTTCACGCAGCGTCGACGCTGCCGGTATATCCTTCCCCTGTTGCATCTCGCCGGAAGTTGTTTCGGTCATCTATCAGGACTGTCTCGCCGGCACACTTCTGTGAAATGGATATAGGCAGACGGAATGGGCGTATTGTGGTCACACCGCGGCAATGAAGGTAACAAGAACCCAGTGTAGTCAACCAATATTCAGCTGGCCGGTACCAAACTTGACTTGTAGGACAGGGAGTCCGGCCTCGCCAGCTCCAGCAGAAATGAGACGGGGGATGCTTTTTAAATATGCAGGCTGTCCGCAGGCTGAGAAACGGTCATCAGCTTCTGGGTGTCAGCTAAGAAGTCGGCGTGACGGTGACGATTGAGGTTTGAGCGGGAAGAAGTTGCTTGTTAAAAATAAGCAGCGCGCTGATTGGCCCAGCGAGTCAATGATGCATTGCTTATATCATCAACTGTCCTAAAGTGGTTAGCGCGTTCGCTCTTGACGCGGGAATAGGGTCATGTGACGAGCTTAGTGTCTTGAGTATCTTAGTAATAAGGTTTGTTCCTGGTCGAAAGCTTGTCTTAGATTGGTCACGTGCTATGACGCCTCCCAAGGTTCTAAAAGTTGGGATATTCGACGTCAGCGCCAACTGCGGCGACGTCAACATCAACCTCACTTCAAGTGGCTGACCAGCGTGTTTAGACATTGGAGCAGTGGGATTCCACGCGAGAGGTCCGACGGCGCGCTTTAAATACTTACAACTCACTCACTCAGCAGGGACATGCTTTGATAGTCCGCTTGTTTAAGCGTCCGACAGGGGTGCTGCTGGCTGCTGCACAAAGACCTTGCCGGGTTTCCTAGTTGCGGACAGATAACTTCATCAACCATGAATCGCCCACTAAATGGCTCTGCCAATGACGAGAATACTACGCAGGAAACAGGACATGGAATCAGCTGGTTAGAATACTCCCCATAGAGCTGCAGCGATAAACAAACCCATGTCTAACTCGCTCTCTAGGAGCTTACCCGTACTCGGTAACGCGAGAAGAACAAGCAATGAAGATCACCATGGAGTTGTTCGACACAGGAGTCGAAGTGTTTCCCGTCTTCAGAGGACTTCCTTAGCTGGGCCACTACCTACCAAGCTTGGCTTTTCAGATGAAAGAGAAAAGTTGGCCCAGGATGAGGGCAATGAGGCCCAAAAGCTGGGGTCCTTCTCAGGCGTTTTTGTCCCGACGACTCTCAACGTTCTGAGCATTCTCATGTTCCTTCGCTTCGGCTTTCTTCTAGGCCAGAGCGGTGTTCTAGGCATGATGGGTTAGTAATATCTTTTTACACTGTTTGTTACCTTTACGTTTAACTATATGCTAAGAGGGAGAACAGCCATGCTTATAATATCATATGCCATTGACTTGATAACCGCCATGTCGATTTCCGCAATTGCTACGAATGGTACCGTAAGAGGTGGAGGCGCTTATTACCTCATCAGCCGTTCCCTAGGTACCGAGTTCGGAGGTTCAATTGGCATTGTGTTCTACCTTGGCTGCGTTTTGAACACAGGAATGAACGCAGTCGGTCTGGTTGACTGCTTTAAGCAAAATTTTGGTGTTGTTTCTGGCAGCAAGTCCCACTTTCTTTATGAAGGCTTTTGGTGGGAGTACCTTTGGGCATCCATCATCCTCCTACTCTGCACAGCTATCTGTTTGGCAGGGAGTTCGGTTTTCTCCCGTGCCAGCAATGGGTTGCTTATTGTTCTTCTGGTATCAACCTTTAGCATTCCGCTATCAGCGTGTATCAGGCAGCCATTTAGAAACGAGCGTCTAGGCATTGAATTTACCGGATTTAGCAGCGTATCATTCTTCGATAATCTATACCCACGCCTTACTAAAGGTGCCGCAGGAAGTCAGATTAAGAGGCGAGAAAACTTTCAAGATCTGTTCGGGATTCTCTTCCCTGCAACATCTGGAATATTTGCGTTCGTTCTGCCGCTGGACCTCTCATTTCTGGTATCTGATATTTGCTAACTTCATGCTTTACAGTGGTACGAGCATGTCCGGTGACCTTAAGAACCCAAGCAGATCCATCCCGAAAGGAACACTTTATGGTCTAGCCCTCACGTTCTCCACCTATACGATCGTTATTCTCACCTTGGCAGCAAGCGTTACGAGGGAGTCACTCTATAGAGACGTTAACATTATCCAAGATGTCAGTCATATCATATACCATCTATCATTTTTGGATGAGTTTTCTTATTAACTCCGACTGTAGACAAATATGTCCGGGTTCCTTATTGTTCTCGGAGAGTTTTCAACCTCATTTTTCTCGTCTCTTATGGGCATTATTGGTGCTGCAAAAGTACTCCAGGCCATCTCACGGGATGCCCTTCTACCCGGGTTATCAATCTTTGCAAAGGGGACCAAGAAAAATGACGACCCCATCACCTCTATTCTCATCACCCTTGCAATAGCTCAGATTACTATATTCTTCGATATCAACCAGATCGCCTCTTTCGTTTCCATGGCATACTTGATGACCTTCCTGGTCACTAACCTGGCTTGTTTCTTGCTCAAAATTGGATCCGCCCCGAACTTCAGGCCCTCGTTTCACTACTTCAATTCCACAACTGCATTTGTTGGGACAATTATCAGTGGAGCCAGTATGTTTTTCACCGATGGGGTGTACGCTACAGGATGTGTTTGCGTTCTGGTGACACTCTTCCTCCTAATCCACTATATGGCTCCCCCGAAGACGTGGGGAGATGTCAGTCAAAGTCTCATTTACCACCAGGTCCGCAAATATCTGCTCCGCCTTCGACCTGAGCATGTCAAGTTCTGGCGACCACAGATTCTCTTATTCGTGAACAATTTCGAATCGCAGTATAAGATGATCCATTTTTGCAATTCGTTGAAGAAAGGCGCTCTTTTCGTGCTTGGGCGTGTTCTAGTCACGGACGACTTTGCAACTGCTGTTCCCGTTGTTAGAAAGGAGCAAACGGCGTGGAATAAGTTCATTGAGTTCTCAAAAGTCAAAGCTTTTATAAATATAACAGCAGCCCCAAATATAGAATGGGGTGTCAGGAATGTTGTCTTAAGTGCCGGACTTGGAGGAATGCGACCCAATGTGGTGGTAATAGACCAATTCCGCAAGGACAACTCTGATGCTTCACTCGACCCTGGGCTTCCACTAGTACGGCCGACGAGACGTACGTCTTCAAACCTCAGTGATGGTGAAGGGGACCCTCTCCGAAAAACAAGAACGGATTCGTTCGAAAGAGACCCCCCAATGAATGTCCAGAGCTACCTGACGGTCCTGGAGGATCTACTATTCCAGTTACGCATGAATGTTGCAGTTGCTAGAGGATTCGAGAATATTGAGCTTCCTGGTACGAATGATGAATCACCGGCCAAGTTCATAGACCTATGGCCAATCCAGATGTCTGGAGAGATATCGTCAGATGGAGGGCGAAAGTGTACCAACTATCTCACAACCAATTTTGATACATACACATTAATACTACAGCTTGGCTGTATCCTGAACACTGTCCCATCCTGGAAACGATCATGCCGTTTGCGAGTGGCTGTGTTTGTAGAGTACGAGACAGATGTGGAGGAAGAAAGACGAAGAGTGATGACTCTACTCGAAAAGCTCCGAATATGTGCCGAAGTGCTGGTATTCTGGCTTGCCAGTGGGGATCTACAAACTTACCGCATAATCGTCAATGGAGACAGAAATAACGTGGACAAGGTTGTGCTTGACGCTGTTGAACAAGTGTTGGAAGAGGAGGATTGGTGGAATGAACTCGGACGGTATAGGACGACTTCTAGATCTAGCAGATCACAGCGGCAGACTCCAACGGGATCTGGATCTACGACTCCGCGTGAAGGAGGCAGACGACGTGCAGGGTTAGAAGGTCTCAAGAGGGTTATTGAGTCATCTCGAAGACGGTCAATTGGGCCTGGAGTCAGTCTCGGAATGCAGACCCATCGACTACTGGATTCTATGGTAGAGTACAATTCCGACGGAAACGAGTCGTCCTCTGAAGAGAGCGATATTGATTCTTACCTGAGCGAGAACGAGAATGAGAACGAACCAGAAGGTAACGACCCAATGACAGCCTCTGACGTTCCAACAATCAATCAGCCAGAAGAAACCACAGAAGGAACCACAGCAGCAGCTACTACGGCCACACCTTCACCCCGTGTAATGTTTATGAAGAAAGGCCGGGTTGCGTCCAGTGCCAAATTCTCCTCTGCCCCCATACCGACAACAAAGGTGGTATCAGAAGAAGGTACCGGGCCCTCGATCATGTTTGCAGATTCATCACCTCCACGCCGCGGAAGCGCCACAGCGGCAGGCCTTGAATCGATATACAACCGCAATTCTGGCACCGCCAGTCAGCCCGCCGTCACTTCAGCTGAAGGAGACACGGAGAACCAACCACGGGCATCTGGATATCCCTCCCAAGCGGCAGTCCCTCTATCGTTCAACGACCTGCCAGGCCGTGCCCAGCATCTGATACTGAACGAGCTGATCAAATCGCAGAGCAAGGACACTGCGGTTGTGTTCACCACCTTGCCGACCCCCGTTGAAGGCGTCTCCCATGACAAGGCCTCCTGTGAAGCGTACGTCAACGACCTCGAGGTGCTCTGCGACGGTCTTCCTCCATGTCTCCTCGTCCACAGCAACAGCGTGACTGTTACCATGAATCTGTGATCGGTATATTCCTAGTTCCGTAGTCCTTTGCCGTAACGTCTTTGCATAACCTTCCAGCATATATCTATACAGCGTTTGTTTATTTTCTATGTATTCATTTCGGTAGATCAAATAAATTGGCCTTTTTTTGATATCATCGTCGTTTAATCATTTGGTTTTATCATTATCAATTTATCAGCCAGACGATCCCAGACGAGGAAAAAGAAAACATCCTCAACCCAAAGCCTGAAGCTCATCTTTCAGCTGCTCGCCACCGTTTAACTATTTTGACTCGTTATCAATTCCTTGGACAAAAACGAGGCCTGCAGAGCGCAGACGTCAGCCTGTTAAATGCAGCGTTGGTGTCAAATTCCCTGATTCCATTCGGTTCCCTCGCTGACCCCCTCGCCAGCTAGCTACTCAGCGTACCACCGCAAGCTGACCGTCAAACTATTATATACGAACAATTCGGCGAATATCTAACGTACACGAACAACTAGATAAATAGAAAGCTGCCGCGGCCTCCGAAATACATCTGTCTTGCCTGACGCTCCCCCGCGCTAACATGCGACGTTGAGAAGAAACCGAAACATCAGATAAAACATCCGCGCGGTAAATCCGTCGAGCAAAGCACAGCAACAAAAGGGTCACAAAAAAGGGGGGCGGAACACAGAGAGCTTTAATTGGATTTGAGGGGAGGAGCAAAGAAAGAAAAAAAGGCTTTATGCCAACCATGGTTGAGCGGTTTGAAAGCAATATACCCGTACGATCGAAGCGCAACGGCCGCCACAGCCTGAAGATGACCATGCCAGACGATGAATCCGTAGACAGCTCGGACGGGGCCATCACGCCCTCACCGGTACGATCGGGAATAGAAGGGCTCCCTCCAGGCAGACTCAGCGTCAAGTCGAGGATGGGCAGGAAGATGTCGTCGCCAATGGCGCCGCCCTTCATGGTGTCGGCGCCCGGAAAGGTCATCGTGTTTGGAGAGCATGCAGTCGTGCATGGGAGAAAGGCAATGGCTGCCGCAATATCTCTGCGGTCTTACTTGCTTGTCACGACGTTGTCGAAGTCGCACCGGACGGTTACGCTGAATTTCCGTGATATAGGGCTGGATTTTACGTGGGATATCGACTCGTTGCCCTGGGATGTCTTCCATCACCCGTCCAAGAAGAAATTTTACTATGATTCTGTCACCGAGCTGGACCCCGAGCTACTAGAGGCCCTCAAGCCCCATGTTGCTATGGTTTCGTCGGACAAGCCGGAAGAAGTACGAAAAATACACCAGCACTCGGCCAACCAGTTCCTTTACCTCTTCCTCTCGCTCGGGTCGCCCAAGACCCATGCTGCCATCTACACGCTACGGTCCACGATACCAGTGGGAGCCGGACTAGGGAGCAGCGCGAGTGTCTCCGTCTGCTTGAGCACAGCGTTGCTGCTGCAGGTCCGCATCCTGGCCGGACCACACCAGGATCAGCCGCCGGACGAGGCAGAAGTGCAGCTCGAGCGTATTAACCGGTGGGCATTTGTGGGCGAGTTGTGTATACACGGCAACCCAAGTGGTGTTGATAACACTGTGTCTACCGGCGGCAAAGCTGTCATATTCAGGAGAGGGGACTACTCCAAGCCACCAACCGTCACCCCAATGCTAGACTTCCCGCAAATGAAGCTTCTCCTGATCAACTCGCGCCAGCCTCGGTCCACAGCTGTCGAAGTTGCAAAGGTTGCCGCGCTGAAGAAAGCACACCCAGTCGTGACAGAGTCGATCCTGGATAGCATCGACCATACCACTGAGAGTGCATACCGCCTCATCGCCTCAGACGATTTTGACGAACACTGCAGTGAGAAGATAAATCACCTCGGAGAGCTATTCCGCATCAACCATGGCCTGCTCGTGTCTCTGGGAGTTTCTCACCCTCGCCTAGAGCGGATCCGAGAGTTGGTCGACCATGCTGATATCGGTTGGACTAAGTTGACGGGCGCTGGTGGAGGAGGGTGTACCATCACTTTATTCAAGGCCAAGTGGAACGAGGAAGCAATTGAACATCTGGAGGAACAGCTCAACGACGAGGGCTATGATCGTTACGAAACCTATCTAGGAGGAGACGGGGTGGGCGTTCTCTGGCCCGCCGTCCTCCAGAATGGCACCGACGAAGAGGGCGGCGAGGAAATAGACCAGATCAAGTTCGAGAATGCCGTTGGCATCAGCGGTATCGAACAGCTCGTCGGTGTTGGCGGACGAGAGAAGAGGGAAGGCTGGAAGTTCTGGAGACGCGGAACTTCGACCTGATTGATATACGCTTGATGCTGGATACAAAAAGGGGGGGAGTTGAATAGACTCCGTGGACGACGGAGATGGACTACTTCTTTTCTTCCCTACGTTTTCGGTCAACACCACGCTTGCTCGACTATTTTCTATTGGTTCGGAGTCTTGCGAGCTCTCTAATGCCTTTTATTTTGGCATGCTTCTTCCTTCTGACATCTTGATACTTGATACTCCTATGCCTTTCTAATAACTAGCCGTGTACGAAGTGAAGACGACGTTCAATTCTTGCTTCATTTCAGGCCCTGATTTTGCCTTTCTTTAGACCAGTACTTCACAGTAGCTACCAATACAATCTATCGTCCATCTCCACATAATCAATATCCTTTTTCTACTGCTTCGATCTCTTCCAATCTTTGCTTCTTCTGCTTCTTCTGTCTGGATGTCTTTTATAGTTGATTACCTAATCAGCCTATTGTGCCGTCCAGCTTCTTTGTTCGAACAATACAAAAACATCAATTCATCCCATGAGCCTTGGAGTGCGGCTTTGGATATAAAATAACACGAACCGCCTCTTCAGCCTACGCCGTCTGCCTGGCAGATGCCCAAGTCCATCTCCGTTGCTACTGGCTGGAATATGCAAAGAAATAAATAAAAACCCAATACCCTGCCATGTCAAAGTACTCCTCCGACCCCGCGTGGGCATCAGTTACTCCCATCCCTCTGGATGATGGATCAAACCGCTTTACCCAAGCAGACAGAGAAAATGCTGCTGGCGATGATGCTGTGACTACTGCTAATGTGGCTAGCGAGGCGTTGCCGCTTGCAACGATCGCCTATTCAGAGGGCTATGCCGAGGCCACAGCGTATCTGCGAGCTGTGATGGCTGCAAACGAGATGTCAGACCGAGCTCTTGCTTTGACCGAAGATGTGATTCGATCAAACCCAGCCCATTATACCGTCTGGTACGTTTAGTAGCTGTTCATATAAAAGGTTTGACGTGGGATTTTTGCTGACGACCGTGTGCCATTGTTACAGGCTGTACAGAGCACAAATACTCAATGCTCTAGGAAAGGATCTAAATGCTGAGCTTGCCTGGCTCAACCAGCTATCCACTCAGTATCTAAAGAGCTATCAGATATGGTAGCGAATATCCTATTCTCATATTTCGCCAAACAAGGATATATACCGCTAACAACATACCTATAGGCACCATCGCCAAGTGATAATGTCCAATGAATCTGTATTCCCTACCTTACCTGAAGGAGAACTGGAGTTTCTAGCGAAGATGTTTGCTCTAGACTCCAAGAACTATCATGTCTGGACATACAGACACTGGCTTCTGCGGCATTTCAAGCTGTGGGACTCCCCTGCTGAGTTGGAGGATATAGAAAGAATGATTGACGAGGATGTGATGAACAATTCGGCCTGGAACCATCGGTGGGTTATGCGATTTGCGCCGCGGGAGGGATTTGACAGCGGGCTGCCCGGGGTGGGAATCCCAGGCGGTATTGGTGGCGCCGGTGCAGGCAAGATGGTCGTTGTGGACGAAGAAATGGTTGATGGGGAGGTTGAGTATGCAAAAAAGAAGATTGTGTTGGCTCCTGAGAACCGAAGCCCATGGGCCTATCTGCGAGGTGTGCTTAAGGCTGCAGGCAGAGGCTTGGAGGACCTCAAGGGATTTGCAGAGCGGTTCATCGTTAAAGAAGTCGTTGAAGAGGGTCAGGGTGAGTTCTTGGTCAAGAGCAGCCATGCGTTGGAGTGGCTAGGCGACATATATGCCGAGCAGGCGCATGAGGCTGAGGCAAAGCACAGCGCGGTGCAGATGTTTACGCTTTTGAAGGATAAATATGATCCAATCAGGAGGAATTACTGGGAATACCGGATTAGGTCAATGGACAAGTAGGGAATGGAGAAGGTAGCAGTGAAATTATGTATTCAGTCTCTATTTTCTATCTCTCTCTTGCGAAGATATGTGCGGATGTTTTTGTATCAACACCGAAGGTCAAATAAAAGATAAGGACGAGGGATAGAAATGACACACTGTTATCTATACACAGTGATGGTAGAAAAGGGGTAGGGGCGTAATTAAAAAAAAAAAAAAAAAAAAAAAAAAAAAAAAAAAAAAAAAAAAAAAAAAAAAAAAAACAACGGCTTATATAATCACAAAAAACGATGCAAAAGGGTGTGTAGTAAGACAGTCCCGTGTCCCCGGATATATTTTTGAAACTCCCGCCAACGCCATAACCCCGTCATGTCAAGCCATCATTAAAGCCTGTCATATATACACCAGGCTTGTAGAAACAAAAAAGAGGCAAAAATAATTAAGCAGAAAAATTGGTATAATGTCTATGCTGCAGAAGGGGGTGGGACAGCAATGCTGCCTGGATCATCGCTTCCCCAGCCAGCATCGAGCTTCTCTCTCCACTCAGCAGCCATACTGAGGGAGACATTGCTTCCTCCACAAACAACAATGACAACTCTGGTCTGGGGTCCAAAGTTGGGGATGAGCTGCTGAAGGAATGTCTTGTTTAATCCTGGTACGACTGTCTCTCCGTTGGTGGCTGGTGCGCTACCCTCAGAACTGAGCTTGACTTTCTTTGCGGGCGGTGCATCGGTTTCCGGTTGGTGATGGGGTCCAAAGGCAGCCTCAACAGAGACACCGCAGGCGAGTTCAACAAGGATCTTCTCATCCTCTGCCAGGCGGAGGCATCCGCGGGCAGCGTCCGCATCCGAGAGAACGAGGGAGTGGGTTTTGATGCCTTTGGGGGGAGATTTGTAGTAGTCCCAAGTCTTTTGAGATATGCGGAGGACACCGAGTGAAGAGGCGGCCGATGAGATTTTTGGGAGGGATGTAAGGGAACCCTTTTTGACGGATGAAGCGAGGGAATCAGCACCCCGGGTCTCTGTGGCAATGATATGGATGTTGTCGTCTCTGGTGGAGGTGGTAGTCGCGGATGTTGTACCGTTGGTAGAAGCGTTGTTGGCAGCAGCTTCGAGCATAGGAGCCTGGCGCTCAATTCCCATAATGAGGCCATTCATGAGGCCGCCACCGCCCACGGAGCAGACGATAGCATCGCAAGGAAGCGCTTTATGGAGACAAGGGTCATTCTCCTCAGCCGGAGGTAGTTGGTATGCGAGTTCGTCTGACATGCTGCTGACGCCTTCCCAGATTTGCTGGCGGTCAAAGGGGTGTAATTCAATGGCGACAACCTCAGTGCCGCCAGGGGTTGGGTGGTCACTAAGCTCTTTCATCATCTCACGCATGCGAATAGCGGCTTCATCCAGGTTGATTCCGTGCTGGACGACATGGGCACCAGCCTGCTGCAACTTCTTGACCATGACCGGCTTAGTGTTGAGGGGCACAGTAACAGTGCAAGGGTAGTTGAGAGCGGAGGCTGCAAAGGCAGCTCCCAGCCCAGCATTTCCAGCTGAGGGGATGAAGAAGTGCAGCCGTTTGCCCTTGTTTGCCGGGTCTGCAGCATGGCTACGGACAAGATTTCCAATGCCGCGAGACTTGAAAGAGCCGCTGGGCTGGAGGTTGTCAAGTTTGAGGAAGACTCGGCTATATATGATCAGTTAGTCTTTTGTCTGTCTGTCTGTTTGTTTGTAGAACCGGAATGCAGGATTCGTACCATCCGGCAGCTTTGGAGAGACTGGTGGACTCAATCAAAGGAGTCTCAATCCATGGCAAGCGCAGACGCTGCTGCTTTTTGGGTTCCTCGATGCTTCCCATAGCGGCGGACGTAGTGATATCTGGTTGAACAGAGATATCAGCAGCAACGAAAGAATATGGGAAAGAAAGCAGACTAGACAGAGAGGACAGGTCTCAAAGAATAAAAAGAATAAGAATAACAAAAGGTTTAGTATGGACCGTCCGGGCGCTGGTATGTCTAAATATAAAACCTTCAAGATAGATATCCGGGCGGGAAACGGGATACTGTCATCGACTCGAACAAACTTTGGTACGGGAAGTGGCAGAAGTGGATAAGGATGCGACAGCGGAAGCCCTGGAACTCCGCCTGACGAACAAGACAGAATCCCGGGGCCGGCGGGAGCTTCTTCTTATACAGCCAGACTCCGTACTTCTCCAACTTCTCCAACTTTTGCCATGTTCCAGAAATTTTTTTTTCAACCCCCCATCGCGTCCCCAGGGTACCGACCTCCCCCCCTAACGGCCGGGAGCGCTAGATCGAGCAATCTCTAGCCTGCCAGGGAAGCTCGGGGATTTAGGCACAAGCTCAGCGTCCAGCCATGCATGGCCAGCCAGGAAGATGCCGGCATGTCAAAAGGAAAAAGCGCAGCCCCTTTGCTTCTTCGCCGCAAGCTTCTGCTGCCGTCTGAATATACTTAATAATAATAACATCGAGCTCCATCGCCGCCATCGTCATCACTCGCCGTGTTATTATTATTTGTTTTTTTTTTTTTTTTTTTTCGCCAGCGTCTTTGAGTGCTGACATAAGCTGCGCAAGATCCAGGCACGCCCCACAGTTTGCGTTTTCCGAGGGCCCAGCCAAGTTTCCCGCGGGATACCGAGGGCAGTTTCCCGGGCTCGTGTTTTGCCTACATTCGGCCGAAGCGAGCACGGGAAAAGATGGCTTCGATATATAAAGCCGATGATGGCGAGTATCGATATATCGTGCTGAATATTCCTATTGACGGTTCGCGAGGGACCGACAGGCACACAGACACACGTAAGGATGTAAGATATATCGATGTTCATGCTCAAGATAAGCAGATAGTTTTCAGGACGGCGGGCGCAACAAGAGCGCGAGATCCAGGCCAAACCGCCGATATCAACCCCAATCCGAGATCCTCAACAGGATCGCTCTGTCGGAGAATACTTTGCGCGTCGTCTACCCCGTACTCCGTAAGCTGTTGGGCGTGGTCAGATGGGTGCCTGGGGGAGCGGCTGATTGCCCAGTCCAGACGCCCTCTCGTAGTCGATCATGGAGAAACGGGATGGAGGGCCTTGAGGACGAATCGCCGAGTCGGTCAAACGACCCAGTGGCCTTCCCTTGTTGTCCCTTGCTCTTAGCACGGCTCATCCTGCTAGCAGTGCATGTAGTAACGTTGAGATTATTACGTGCATCTTGCTTGCTTGCTTGTTTCTCTTCTGCATCCTTCTTCCCGGCTGGACTCGGGCGCGGCTACCGATGTCCAGATCTGGTCCTTTGCACTGCATGGATGGAAATAATGGGGACGTGTGACCCGGCAATTTTTGCTTCTTCATTTCTCCAAATCGACTTTCTTCATTTTTGTTTCTTCTCCTTTTTCTTCTTTGTCCTTTTTCTAGTCAGCTGATCCATAATGCACACTGTCGCCCATGGGCGGATGATAGGATTAGCCGAAGTCTAGATCAGACGTTCTCGGTAATGTACCACAGCTGTCAATTGGGGCTTTGTAGGGGGCTCGTTGGCTCCATTGATAAACCAAATACCATCTGTAAATTTGCCGGCTTCCATTGAGACGGCGATGGTCAAGCAACGTCGAACCATGGCCAGCACATGATATAAATAGAATACGCGTATTGGATGGGCGCGGGCTGTTTTCAGCTAGGGTTTATCTCGAACAGAAGCCCCAGGGATTTTGTTGGGCTCTTTCTGCTTACCTCGTGGTCTATTCAACCCCCGAACGGTCTCTCTATCTTAGCATCAAAATACTGGGGGACATGCGAATTGGAGTTTCTCATACGCGTGGAGGAGTGGTTGCGGGATGACGTCCAAGGGCCGGCGGGTAGGGCCGAGCGAATCTGCTCTCGTATCTCGGTTTAAGCAATCTTTTAGCTCAGACTATTGGATCGCCTCTTTAGATAGTCCTGAGGGAGGCATTTGGGTCTGGCTGACCGTCACACTCAAGTTTGGGGTGTATTTCATCTGTGGCTTTCGGGGTAAGACGTGAGGGCTTGAGGTTGGGGTTGGTGATGGTTAGTTTAGTTGTCACATGAGCAAGGTCAACCATTAACTTAGGTGCAAAATTATAGTTGCGACTCTCTATCGGCTTTAATCTCTATCGTACAGCAGTCAATAACACTCTAAGCGTACGGATAATATACATACAAGAAGTTCTAACAAGGAGATCTAGGGCAATTCCCCCATTCCGTTATGAGATACATCATTCTTCGCTCAACAGCGGTGGGAATAGCGTCCCTGCCTGCCCTTTTCCTAGCGGCATCCTGGGCGTCCCATAGTCAGGATCAGCCCCATACTTTGCGGCAGCATATGACCGCTTGCTGAGGTCTTCCTCTACACCGAGCATGTTGAGTAGCTTCTTAGCCTTCTCGGGCATGAAAGGTTGCAGGAGGATGCCGGCAATGCGGAGAGACTCGGTTGCATTGTAGATTACTCCAACCAACAGGTCGTATGCCATCGGGTCAGTGCCCGCCTCCTTCGCGAGGTTCCACGGTCCAGTGCTCTGGACATATCTATTTGTCTACACCGTCATTCTTGTTAGACTTGCAATGCACCCGGCTAGAAAAAGTCATCATAATCGGTGAGAGGGTCGGAAATGACAACTCACCTGGTCAATGATCTTCACTATCTCCTCCAGCGCTCGGCGAGGGTTCAATTCATCCATCTGGTTGGATACAAGGCCCGGGACCTTCTCCAAAAATTCCATGTGCTCAATTTCAGATTGATCTTTGGCTCTTCTGTTGCCCTGTCCATCGGTCATCTTGACAACGCTCTCTCTCACATTCCATCCCTTGCCTCGCATCACCCGACTACAAAGATTGCCTAGCCCGCCTTGCAGGATGTTTTTGTAGTCTCGTACGATATACGAATTGTCGTAATCCGTATCGCTAGCAAGACCCCCGTTCATAGCCAAGTAAAACCTCATCGGGTCTACACCGTACCGTGCCATGGCAAACATTGGGTTGACCACGTTACCGGTAGATTTGGACATTTTCGAGTGGTTCATCGTCCAATGTGCGTGTGTCAAGATGGTCCGGGGTAATGGCAGGTCCAGTGCCATCAGGAAAGCTGGCCAGTAAATACAATGGAACCTAGATGGTATTAGTTGACATCTACGAGTATTAGAAGCTTTCGTGCGAATAGCGCACCTCGTGATATCTTTGCCCACGACATGGACATCTGCAGGCCATATCGACTCTTGCTCGCGGCCAGGGGTGAAAGGGTATCCTGCGTAGGTGATATAGTTGACCAAAGCGTCCAACCAAACATATATGGTTTGTGTCGTATCTCCAGGGACGGGAATTCCCCATGAGAGCCGGTCGACGGGGCGAGAAATAGAAAGATCCTGCAATCCAGACGCAACATTCTGTACTATACTATCCATATACACCTTTGGCTGAATGAATTCTGGATTCTTGCGGTAATGCTCTAGTAATCGGTCTTGAAAGGCGGACAATTTGAAGTGGTAGTTCGTTTCCTGAGAAAATTTTACCTCTTTCCCTGTTTCAATTGAGGCCTTAACAGCAGAGTCAGTCTCTACAACACCATCAAAGGAGGAAGTTGATATTTACCATCAGTTTCCGCCCGGTTGCTGGATCAAGTGTTGAATGCACGGCAGAGGCTGGATAAAACGTCTCGTCACTAACAGAGTACCAGCCTTCATGCTTGCCCTCATAAATATAACCACGGTGGTTAAGGTTTTCCTACAACAACGTTGGTAAAAGAGCCCGGGGAGATTCGAAAAGGAGTATCAATACCCAAAAGAATTGTACAGCAGCTTTATGCGCCGAATCAGTTGTTCTGATGAAGTGGTCATGGCTCGCATTTGCTTCTCTGGCCAGAACCTGCGAGATGTTAGTCTCTCCACAGCCCCATGTATATTGCGCATGTTGAGTGATAACCGGACCTTGAATGTTTCACAATTCCTATCGCAAAGCGCCTGAGGTTCCAGTCCATTTTGAAGCGCAGCTTGTTGAATCTGCAACTGACGTATTAGCCCCCTTGTTCCTCCAAATTACCATACATATTATCGTCTCACACCTTCATCCCATGCTCGTCAGTCCCCGTCAGGAGCTTCGCATCGCCGTTACCAAGGAGGACCTGCCATCGTTTGAGTATATCGGCGATAAGGATAGTATAAAGGTGGCCGATATGTGGTGCTATTCACAAAAATTAGCTATCACTACCTCACAAAGCCTTTAATCCGTAATCCCACCTGCATTGACGTAGAATATAGGCGTTGTGACATAGTATGTCTTTGGTTTTGTCCCAGGCGTTGCTTCGGTTGTATATCTGCGATTAGGAGGCTGCTGCCAGGGGGCTCTTGTCTGTCGACATGAGCCGCATATCCAAGAGTTTGGCTTTATTTTCCTGAATCTTAAGCTCTGCGAGAATGTCCGGAGCTCAGCTTTCAACATTGTGGCCCATAAAGCCCGGATTCGCTCCTCTGGATGGTCAGAATCGTTCTGGCGAGTTTGCGCTGTCGGGTCAGGTGCATAAGTTTTTGGAATAAGTATTTTGCCGATGATGGTCCAAGCTCCTGGCAGTCTAAAAATATTCATTATCAATGAAATTCATTCAACCTGCAACCGCTTTGGCTAGCAGGTATTATTATTTTGCTTCATTTAAGATATAGTATTTATTTTTTATTGCGACATAATTCACCCACTTAGTCATCTCTATATATAATACCTTCTGGTGTACAGCAAAGCGTCCCAGAAACTAGGCACCATGACCGCCGCGATTCAAGAAGATATTCTCACAAAAGTCTCAACAGATGGTGAGAACCCAGCTCATATCAGGTTCTTTATCGATTACCTACTAAATATATTGTGCCAGCGACTACAAATTTTGTTCAGTCCTACTACTCTGCCCTTGACAATGCCCGGTCAACGCTCTCCACTTTCTACGCTCCCACGGTGACCAATCTTCTATTCAACGGCAATATCGTAGCCGACGGTGCTTCTGTTCAAGATATATTTGTCAACCAGCTGCCTCCTACACACTACGAAGTCCAGTCGTATGATTGCCAGGTCCTCAACCCGAATTATCCAATGATTCCACCCGCCACCGCGGACAATGTGGCTAGTCCATTTGGAGCCAACGCAAATCGCAATACCTCAGATCCAGTGAAGAATATGTCAATATTAGTTATCGTGAGCGGTTATGTGAAATTTGGAGAAGGAAAAGAAACTTGGGATTCACCAAATCGAGGGTTTAGCGAGACTTTTGTCCTGGTTCCAAATCCACAAGCGTCCAGCGGGCCCAAAGCACGGGGAAAACAGTGGTTAATACAGAGTCAGAACTTTAGGATCGTTGTTTGATGGGTTTCAGGGCTCAGATAACCACTTGGATGCTTTGTACCACCTGCCCGATTCCACTGCAAAACTTGCTATCAAGCCGCTTGGTATATTCAAGGGCCTGTTATCGGGTACGACATTACGATACGGTGCAAGGGAAGATATTCCTTCAATCGCCAAAATCCGAACAAGCATTCCCTTAGTCTAATACTATTGTGTCCACCAACATGATACCCACAGAGCTAAGGCCTCATATTGGCTTTTACCCTCTCCAACAACTCTTCCCTTGAAGCCTTCTCATTAGGAAGCAGTCCACGCTATGATATGGCAGCTATATCAGCATCGGAATCCAAGCCCCATACATTGACACCATTTGGAAATGGAATTTGCATCGGCTTACCACTCGGAGCCACCTACGTAGCTCGTCAAACGTCCAATATTCAGGATCTACTTGGAGACTCCGTTAGATGTTGGTATCAATCATAGAGGTGCGATCGATGCTAGAAACCTTACCTCCAGTTGGATCGGCTTCAGCGGGGAACATTTCACTTCCCCATATACTCCATACTGCAGCAACTGTCACAAGACCAACAAACCCTAGATAATCAGTTATTTAAATACTATCTACTGTTTTGCCGGGCACCATATATTTACCGACAAGTAGGTTCTTTGAGGCGTCAGTACAGTTGTGTAATATACTTTGAAGGAGGTCGTACCTTAGACTGCAGAGCTTTGTCCAGCGGTGTAGGCATTGTCTTATTGTTATATAACTGGTTTTTGATAAAATACGACAGTTTAAAGAATGGGATGGGAGATGAATGGAGGACAAAGCCACTCTCTATATATACCCATCTTCTACATCCAGATCCTTATGGCCAGTTGTTTTCAAGTCCCGGGGTTAATGCAGTTGCCTGAACTAACCCCGATCTGGGACCCTAAACGCCTTAGGCGCCAACACAAGCGCCCGTATCCTGATTTGGCGATAAACCAGGGCTCCACCGTCGCGAAACCCTAATTGAAGTTCGCACACAATCAATATTTCCGACCTTTAGGAAGAACGACTAGCGACAGCGAGGTTCATTCATTCGACACCACCCGGCCATTAAACAACGACCGCATACTCGTACTTTTCGCCCACCATGCCTTCTGAAGTCTCCGATATCAAGCAGTTCATTGAGATCTGCCGACGGAAGGACGCTTCCTGTATGTTTTGCCCTATATCGATGTTGTGTTTTATATGCTGTCCAGTGCCATTCACGAGACATGTTTTTTGTTGGATATAGCGGTTTAATCAAAGGTCATACTGGCTGATTCTCTTCTCTTTTAGCTGCCCGCATCAAGCGCAACCGCTCTACCCAGCAGATCAAGTTCAAGGTCCGATGCAACAGATTCTTGTACACCCTCATCCTCAGAGACGCCGATAAGGCAGACAAGCTCAAGCAGAGCTTACCACCTGGTACGTTCTATTCGACATACAATAGTGGAATGAAGGGAGGAGTGAGCGCATCTGCGCTGGTTGAACTGGTTTACTGATGACTGTCTCATTTTTTAGCCCTGAAAATTATCGATGTCTCCAACGGTACCAAGAAGAAGTCCACCTAGATATAGAGATTGGGTGAATTGAGGGGTGGTGCCGTCGAATAAAAAAAAAAAAAAAGAATCTAATGCGGGAGGGCATGATCTTATATCGGGAGGATTGGATGGGATAAAAGCGTGAAAAGGTCCAGCACACAATCCAAGGAGATACGTTGTGCATTGGCGAAGCCAACTGATGTAATTACAACCGAAAGCACGCCATAACCGCATCTCCGATCCCGAATTGTCTCGTTCTTATGATATCCCAATGAATTACACCCTACCTGAAACTTACGGCCAGGGCTTTTTCCACAAAAATATCCATACTACACTTTGTATGCAGCACAACATATCATATAAATGGCCTACTACGAGCTCTTGATGAGGTACTACATATGTTAATGATTAGGGCCAGCATCGTATGTTAGCGCCTGTAGAAAATACGTCATCAGTGTACTCAACTTTTCAAGGAGTACTGCCGAGTCGATCAGTGAAGCAGCTTGCTAGATGAAGCTATACAGTCACAACTCGACTGAGGGACTCTCAAATCTCAAATTCTAAAGTCCAAATTATGCTCAGTTATAAGGTAGCTCTCTATATGCATCTATTCCGTAATGCTTCATCCATGCTTGCAGTTCCCCGGAGTCTTCTAGACCGTACTTCCTTAATTCCAATTCCCCAAAGACATTTGGCTCATCCGATACAGTAGTAAAACCAAGGCTTTTAAAGAGAGCCACACTTCGCTCGTTGCTGGCTGCGATTCTAACCACGAAATATTCAAGCCTTTTAGCTGATACGATTTCCGGTCCGCCTACTCGCATAGATCCAGTACGGCCCTGATATTCCGATAGAATTTGGTCCATATGAGCGACCACATAACTCAAGAAACAGATCAGGCTTGCCCTCCCGTATCCTCTTCGTTGCAAATGCTTCTCCGCGATCATTAGTTCTACCTCGCCTACGACCACTTCTTCTAGTGCGTTGTCCAGTTCCTGGTCATTGCTATCGTGTTCTTCCAACTTCAAGAACAGATTCACGTCTCCTATCATCCGGTCCGAAGCGTCATCATCCGTAGATTTGATTTTATATGAGCTCCTGGCTTGGGATGACTCCGAAGCGTCTGCCTCACCGGAAGCGGTAGACGTCGAGGGTATGGGTTGGCAGGTGATAAATGTCAACTTGTCTGCATCCTGTCTCCAGCTCTGTTGCATCTGATACTCTTCTTCTAAAGTAAGGGGTTCTGAAGCTGTAGCTTCTTGTATCTCCTGATATCCTGACATGGATAAGTCAGCGTCAGACTCCAGGGTGTATAACGTTTATAATAAACAGTGTTGATGCTTTGAGAATGCCTAGCCCGTCAGGAGAATCATACAGGATCTTTCATCCATTCATGGTATTTTGGTACATGGTGCTTTGAGTATGGCACCAGAAGAACTCTCGAAGAGGACACACCTATAAGGTATTAGCAGTGAGTTCAAGAACCGTTGCCCCGCTTTAGTAAATCGTCCTGAATCAGGCCAATGGTGTATACTTACATGTATTCTCATTTATGAGCATCTTGGGTCGCTTTTCCAGTAGCTCCTCGTAGGATATTGGGCCATATGTTAAGGACGACGTTGAGAAGCAAATTAAAGTTAGTTGTGGCTAACTTTAGGCAGTGAATTTGATAGTTTGGGCGTGAGATAGCTTAACCCTAGCTAGCAGAAAAACTACGAGCTTTCTACTTGAATATCATCAGTGAATTGCAGTATGTGTTTGGAGCATACATCCGCGTAAGGCATTCCTGCTTCGCTACTAAATTCCAGCGTGAAAAGCTTTAAATTAATATGTCGTTTAGAGTTGCATGTAATTTTTTAAAGGCGCTTGCTAGACAAAATCATCAATATTCATGACGCATCAGGCATTTCTTCCTCCTTTTCAGTGGTACCGTCTTTTGTTACAGTACCAAACTTGACGACCTCAATAGCCAGAGTCTCGGTATCTAGCAGGACTATCTCTCCGGTTTCGTGGAACTTGGGCAGGGCTATTAGCCTGACTTTTGTGATGCTGTCCTCGGCAGTCCCCCAGTCACCACCTTCGATAATAGTAGATTGGAAGCGTGGCTGATTCCCTGTGAAGAATACATGCGGGCACGATTGTATGACAAATGGGTCTTTGTCCTGGTATGGATAGCACCCTGGATAGACGGTTAGCATGGAGCCTGCTGCGTGGTGGGCGCTATGTGATGGAGACTTACATATAGTGTCGGGCGCAGTCGGGACGCCGCAGCGCCATTTAAGCAAGTGTTCCATCAGCTTAAGCCGCGCGCCATTCTCTATATCTTCAACTTCGTCGTCCTCTAATTCTTCGAGATTGACGTATCGGAGAACATCATCGACATTCTGCCCACTGGTACCCCAAAACCTCCAACCCTCAATATCACCTTCCCAAGGGTTTGTGACGTTATCTAGCCAGCCAGGCTCAGATGGTAGGGCCTGTCTTTTTGGCGCTATGGGAGGACAGTATGCTTTCGACCGAGGAAGCATAGCGGTGTGTATTTCCTGTTGTGGCAGAGAGAAGTTTGCCGGGTCCGTTTCGCCAGGCATCAGGGTCACGGGGATACTTGGGAGTATATCAGAGAGAAAGCTGTCAAAAAGGGTAATTGGTGAGGCGTTGTAGGCTGATGCATCGTAGCCATATTTTTTTGGTTGACGCTTTTCCGGGTTAGCAGCATCGTTGGCGGTAGAGGCAACTTTGGCCCCCAGGGAGTTTCCCGCGATGATAAGGCGTGAAATCTGAGAGGGATTGGTGGAGGTGTAATCATCCGTGCTGGGGATGGTTCCGGTATAACCAAGGAGGTAGTCCGCGAGGAGGGACAGGGCCACTGTATCCCCAGAAGTGCCAGTAATGCCCAACCCACTGACGAACGCAATTTTCTTGCTCTTTCCAGATCCACTGCCACCCGCTTCTAGAGCACTGTGTTTGCGTTTCGCCGGTACACCGACATCTGTAGTGGGTTCCTGCTCTCTCTCCCATCGCGCAGGCTGTGGGGGTATATCCGGAACCTTGATATCAACCACTTCAAATTGACCGTCTGCGTTCTCTGTCCCGAGGACTGCGACAACAACCCCGGTAACTAGGAAGGTTGATTGCAATAAACTTCCTGTAAGCACCAATCTTCCCGATTCATCTTCCACCATGGTCTGGGTAGGTTTTTTGCTGTTAGGATCGTTGTATGTCTTTTGTGGTACCGGGGCTGCAGTCCAATTCTAGCGATTTAAAAGTACCAGTCAGCATAAGCCACAATTGTTAACTGCTGCAAGATGGAGTACGCATACCTCTTTAGAGATGTCGTCCATAATACTGGGTTTTAACGGAAGATCCATGTAAACCGTCCCCACGATCCACGACAGCTTGCCCTGGCGGACATCGAGCACTCGATCAACCCTTCGCGCATACTCTCCAGCAATCTAGCCGATATAAAAGAGAAGATTAGCGTCTTCTTTCGAGTAGCTACAGTCCGAGCCCAAGTCCGTGTCGCTGCTCATGTTGCTTTGAACCTACTTTAGAGGTATGGGACCGAGCTCTGCTGCGCTCAACCGGGAATCACACGTACATTATAGCCTTCCCAGGCGGCCTTTGCAACCTCCGCAACCGCCGGCTTGAGTCTTGTCAGCCGTAGGAAGTAGATGTCCGAGTATTGCTGCTGGTAGTGTCTTGCTGCGCCGGGGGGTAGCCGGAATGTGTCCATGGGATTGTATAGCGAGGTTTCACGGAACTGGGTCTCGGGAGAGTCATCGTCACTGCAAGGGATGTCAGTAAGAGAATCGCCGAACAGCTTGAGCTTGAGGTCAAGAGTGAAGAAGCCCGACTTACAGCGGCGGGCAGAGGAAGGCCTCCGCGGGGTCCTCCATGGCTATGTATGAGGCCAATCGGAGCGAAACCACCAAGAACTATCTCCCTCTGCGCTGTATCAGCTTCTCAGGCCACCTTCTTGGTCCTTGGCAACGCTCTTTTGCTGCGGTCTCAGCTACTTCAACCATCAGCCGGCGCTTTTTTGCATCTTCAAGCTCGACGCGCAAAAAGAGCGCGAACCCCATTTTGAGCCGCAGTCACGTGGAAGCCCACTCCCTGTTTAAATTCACGACTTCAACGACATCGAGCAGCTTTTTGTATTCACTCGGTGGCCTCGACGGGCTATATGAACTCACTAGTGGACTCTCTACAGGTCTTGTCTTTCCTTCTTCTCCATCTACTCTCTGCTTAGGGTGCAGACTTGCCATCCGTCAAAAGATAACTTCATCCAGTCCCTTAGTAGATTAGCACTACCTGACCGATTAATATGACCCCTGTTATAAAAGAAGATACTCCCAAGCTTTATAGAGGACAGAAGATGCTCTTGGGAGTTGTCTAGATCAGAGCAGGAGACTTACTGACTGCAGAAGCAAACTGGTGGCAGAGATGCTGCTTAGCCAGCTCTACGGCAATCCAATCGATGATTTGGTACAACCCCTATTCGCAAGGAATCTAGAGTCCTTGTCAAGATTGAAGAAATCAGAACTCACAGCTGAACTGACATAAGCACACGCAGTAATAGGCGATTTTCTCCAAGATTTACTCTCTCCAGAGCAGTGGACGTAGAACCACGGCTAATAGTTTACATTCAGTCGAGATATAAATGGATACATTCGGAATGGATCGTCCTAGCTATTACGATCTCTGTTTTATTTTACACCGCTAGGTCTTCATTCTTGTCAAAACAGGCACCGGCATGGCTCCTGTTCCCGATCATTCTCAGGGGTTGCGGGGTTCTTCAGCTACAGGTGCGTCACGTACAGCTTCTTGACCCAGAAATCGGATTGCAAGTTGACCGGCGTAATCCAGGCAGAATCCACCGTATTGATACTCCTGGTGCTGTATACGGTTTTGCACAAGCCTCATGCCTTCAACTAATGGGACTTACGAACGGTCTTTTAGTGCGACATCAAACAACCAAAGCCGAGGGAGGGGGTTTGCAGGGTGGGCATCCGGGGTGTATCTAGTAAGCTACGGCAGCCTGGCGTCTCATGGGAATGCGGAGCCGCGGCATCTCAGCTTAACTAGATATGTAGCGGCAGCTGGCGATCAATACAACCTGAAGCATCTCTACATGTGTCTTTTATCATCTTCAGTCACTTGGATGGCTCTCTATTCAACAAACATTCAATGATATAGCTAGTTACAACAACAGAGAAACATGGCATCCCCTATCAAAACACCGTTATGCGAGCTCCTCGGCATCCAGCATCCCATCCTCCTCGCTGGCATGGCGCGCACATCTGGCGGCCCCCTGGCCGCCGCCGTCTCCAATGCCGGCGGACTCGGCACCATCGGGGGACTCGGCTACAGCCCAGCACAGCTCGAGGAGATGCTGGTCGAGCTGAAGTCGCATCTGAAGAATCCCGGCCTGCCGTTTGGCGTTGACCTGGCGCTGCCCAAGGTCGGCGACGGCGCTCGAGCTACCAACCATGACTATACCCACGGCCAGCTCGATGAGCTGATCGAAGTGACCATCAAGAACGGCGCAAAGCTGTTTGTCTCCGCTGTGGGCATCCCGCCAGCCCATACCATCAAGCGTCTGCACGAGGCCGGCATCCTGATAATGAACATGGTGGGCGCTCCCAGACATGCCGAGAAGGCGCTGCAGGCGGGCGTGGATATCATCTGCGCCCAGGGGGGTGAGGGAGGCGGCCATACAGGGGACATCCCCTTCTCGATCCTGATACCGGCCGTCGTGGATGTCTGTCGCAAGTACCGCAGCCCGCTGACGGGCAAGACGCCGCTTGTTGTCGCTGCCGGCGGCGTCAACGACGGCCGCAGCCTGGCCGCCTCGCTGATGCTGGGGGCTGCTGGCGTCTGGGTTGGCACTCGGTTCGTTGCTGCGGAGGAGAGCGGTGCCAGCCAGCTGCACAAGGAGGCCGTGGTGAGTGCTGGCTTCGGGGACACCGTCCGGACGCTGGTGATATCTGGCCGGCCGCTGCGGTGTCGAGAGAACGACTACATCCGAGAATGGGAGAACAAGCCTGAGGAGATCCTGCGCCTGACGAAGAACGGCATTGTGCCGCTGATGAAGGACATGGAAGAGGATAAGGAGATTGATTTCCCCTTTCTCATGGGCCAGGTTGCGGCCGTCGTCAAGGATATCAAGCCAGCCAAAGACATCGTTGACTCCATGGTGGCCGAAGCCCGGCAGATGCTGGAGCTGGGACGCTCTTACATGGGGGATAGGCAGGGCAGCAAGCTGTGACCTGTCTATACTGTTTGTTTGTATACATAGAGCTGGCTTAGTTGATCTTATACTTAACCCCCCTGACAGTCCAGCACGAGATGAGTAGAATATATCAGGAGTACATAGGCCAGAAGGCGGGCCTTTACTTGCTTGCTACAATACCAATGATAATGACTACCACGACTTATTTGACCGGCGGATCGGGGGACTGGAGAACAGTAGAGACGAAGTAGATAAACAGAATCGTTACGCAAAACATTTCTAACTAACAGGGAGAGCTCAAGATGTGGCAGACAGCGGGATGGTTGGAAATGGGCTGTGGTGCATGGCATCCAAGGCAGAGGCATCAATTCAGCCCCCTGGACCGTATCGTTCAATATATCAAATGGCCTGCTTAAAGGGTTGACCATAGTACTCTGTGAGCATCGCATGGATTTAATCGATCACGCACACAGACACACACACACAATTTCCCCTATCTTTTATCTTTTCATTTTTTTTTTTTTTACCTCTTTTCTCTTGGGAGTTGTGCTTTTTTTGGTTCATATTACTCTACAATGCGATGCGTGGTCGGGGCCACGGGTTAATGCATGTATCCATTCATGACAGGGAGATTCCCATTTGATCGAGCCTCGATCATGGTGGGAGGCGGCGGCGGGCCAAAGACAGGCTTTGTCGGCTGAGCTCCGCTTGCTGCTGGATGCTGATGGTGATGGGGTTGCTCGCCCTCCCCGTGAGAGTGGTATTCACCGTCTTCACTAAGATCTTCCTCGTCTTCGTCGTCGTACTCCTCATACTCGCTCTCGGTGCCTTCGTCGTCCACGTCTAGCTCACCTTCGACGGCGTGGCCCCGGCCTTGTTGCTGCATTCGCCGGCAAAGGGCTTCAAGGCTGTTACTCTTCTTGCGCCATTTCTCGAGCTCTTCGTTGTTGCGCGTGCGTTCCTCGGCCATTTCAAGGATGTTCCTGTTTGTCTGGTCATGTTTGCGAGTCAGGGTTAGATTCTCCTTTTCCAACCGTTTGGTCTTCTTTGACATGTCTTCCATTTCCTTTCGAAATGTTAGGAATAGTTCGTTGCTGTTGTTAAGGGTATCTTCAACCTGAGTGAACACCGATTTTAGCATCTGCGGGAGCTATATTTTCGTCATGGAAGAAGACGCTTGATGATCAAATGGCGCTGCCATACCTGCTTGAATTTTTCGACGTAGATGTTAAGCTGGCTGCGAAGTTCGGCCTCGGTCTGCGAGAAAGTCGAAACCTGCGTGCTCAGGGCCCGGCATCTGGCGGCTTCGTTTTCTGCGCTGCGTCGTTGCTCTTCGTATTTGGCAGTAAGACTTTGGATTTCAGCGTCTTTGCTGCGCAAAATAGCCTTGTAATGCAGCTCTCGAGATTCAAACTGTTCTCCAATGGTCTTTATCTTTGCGCGGAGGCTATCAAAAAGTCAATATCCAATATTGAGTTATGGTTATAAAAAACTCAAAAAGGAAAAAAGAGAGAGAGAGAGAGGCGAGAAACATACGCTTCGTCAAGGTCGATATCGACATTTTCCACTCTGGAGCTTCCCTTAGCTGCCATCACATCCTGGATGTCGAAGAGTAAGGAGTCCAGGCGTTCGTTCACAATGCCGCGGGCTCGTCTTTCGGTATCATCAAGCCTTTTGTTTTCATCCTGTCTTATCGATCAATATCCGCCCTTTGGTATACACACATATACATCAAATCCGGCCACAATTTCCGGGGTAAACGCACTTTGACTTTCTTGTTCTCCTTGGTCAACTCTCTGCACAGCTTCTCGAGCTTATCCTTCATGGTAACCGTCTTGTTCAGCTCGGATTTTCCCTTGTCCTGGTCTTTCTGCAGCTGGTCCGCACGCTTCTTGCTTTTGTTGTGGTCACGGTCCAGCTTTTTCATCTCTGCCAGGAGTTCCGTATATTTCTTGTGCACAGTCTCAAGACGGGTCATTGGAGACTCGATAGTGCTTAGCAGTTGATTTAGGTCTCTGGTAGCCTTTTTGACCTCGCGCTCTGTAGATAATCACATTGGCCAGAAAAAAGAAAGAGAAGGCCATGAGGTTAGAATGAATAACTCTTTAGGCGCAAAGAGAAACAAGACAGCATAATCACAAGCAGAACCAAAGAAAAAAACAAAAGCAAGATCGAGACAGGGAGAAAAATAACATACCTATCTCCGCCTCCTGGTCCTTTTCACCAGCCGCATCTTGCTCGAGCTGGGATATCTTTGCAGCCAGCAGCTTGGAGGTTTCGCCTGGGTCGGCATGTTTCTTGCCCTTCCCTTTCTTTGCTATAGCAGTGGGAGCCATCGTCGTCCGCTTTCCGGGTCCTGAGCAGCACTGTATTCCCTCCGTCTCGTAATGGCTGATATCTTCTTAATCACTCCTCCGAAGGCCCTCCTCTGGGGTCCCTCACGACCGCCTCGCCGCTCAACAACAGGCAGCAGCCGCAACGTATACACTAACACAAGGGAAGTCCGCCGTCTCTACCATCCCAGTCGACCGTCCGTCTCCTCGCAGTAGCGTCCCAGGTGTGCGTTTTCTTCAGGTCCGAGGGAGGTTGGCGCTGAGTCCCGGTGGGCGGCAGCCGGTCCGCCCGCTGAACAAGAAGAACAGGCGGGCTCGAGCAAAAACAACAAGGTATGGCAGCCTGGTCGAAAACCGCTCGCGGTCTCTGCGTCCGTTGCTGCGTCGGTCTCTGCGTGTGCTAGGTTGCTGTCTCGCCGTCGCTGCGTCGGAGCAGGTTGTGTTGGTTCCGTCGAGGGCCAAATTTGTCAGAGCAAAGAAGAAAAAAAGACCAAGAGAAAATGGGATCACAGCCAACTGAGCAGCGCCGCAGCGTCTCTAGCGCCAAAGCGACTTCGTTTTTTTTTTTTTATATCATTTTTACTTCGCTGCAGGCTTGGAATAAATAACTAGACAGACAGAAGACGAGGACGAGGACGACAGTGGGATAGCTCGTCTCTGCCTGCGCCGTTCGCTACGTGAGCTATCTCTGGCTGCTGGTGGTTGACCGTCGTCGTTCTACACGGAGATTGCGATCTCGATTCTACAGCTCCGGAAGACAAAAGAGACAGGAAGACTCGGCTGGATCTCGGTTTGTTGGAGTCGACGATGGTCGTGGCTAGACACTGAAGACTGGATAATACAATTGACGCCTGAGAAGAGAGCGAGACGGCCGTGAAGATGCTGCGGTCAGGAGGCAGACTGGGCAAGCTGGGGGGCTTCAGGGCTCCGGCAGCGCTGTCGAGACAACATCCTCAGCCAGGGAGCAGCCTAGGTCTAAAGCTGAAGGACAGGAGATGGGCGTCTACGTCGACCGTGACGGCGCTGGAGAGCTATCCGGCGGCTGGCGAGAAGCTGCATGGCTTCATCGTGCAGCAGAAAAAGCACATCCCAGAGCTGCACCTGAGTGCCATCCACCTGAAGCACGAGAAGACGGATGCAGACTACCTGCATGTTGCAAGAGACGACAAGAACAATGTCTTTGGCATCTCGTTCAAGACGAACCCTCCGGATGCTACTGGAGTGCCGCATATCCTCGAGCATACCACCCTTTGCGGCAGTGAAAAGTCAGTATCCCAACACTACTGTATATATGACGAGTCTGGAGACAGAAAGATAAATGTGGCTAACAGATTGCTTCTAGATACCCCGTTCGGGATCCCTTTTTCAAGATGCTGCCCCGTTCACTCTCTAATTTTATGAATGCCTTCACCTCCTCAGACCATACCACATATCCCTTTGCTACGACCAACAAGAAGGACTTTCAGAACCTGCTGTCTGTCTATCTAGATGCAACGCTGCACCCACTGCTCAAGGAAGAAGATTTTCGACAGGAAGGCTGGCGGTTAGGTCCAGAGAACGCCAGAGCTGCTGAACACAGCTCGCAGGAAGGGACCTCGGGTGAACATGCAAAGGACGACGACATCGTCTTCAAAGGCGTCGTGTATAACGAGATGAAGGGGCAGATGTCTGATGCAAACTATCTTTACTACATCCGGTTCAGGGAGCAGATAATCCCGGCCCTGAACAACTCTGGTGGTGACCCGCAGCATATCCCGAAGCTCACGCACCAACAGCTGGTTGACTATTCCAGGTCAAACTACCACCCGAGCAATGCACGAATTTTCACCTATGGAGACATGCCCTTGGCTGATCATTTGGCCCAGGTAGGAGAAGTGCTCAACGGCTTCGAGAAGAAGGCCAATCCGCTGGACGTCAAGCTGCCTATCGACCTGAGCTCTGGACCGACCAATGTCACGGTGAGCGGCCCAATTGATACCTTTGCCAGCGAGGGCAAGCAAACAAAGACTTCGGTCTCCTGGCACGCGGGAGACTCCAGAGATAACGTTGAACTGTTTTCAATGGGGATACTGTCGTCGTTGCTGCTTGATGGCTACGGCTCTCCGTTGTACCGTGCTCTTATCGAGAGCGGAATCGGCTCGTCGTTCACCCCCAACACGGGGCTAGACACGTCCGGAAGAGTGCCTATCTTTTCGGTTGGGGTGAGTGGAATATCAGAAGCAGATGTACCCGACGTTCAGAAGAGCATACAAAAGGTGTTTGAAGAGCAGCTTTCCAAAGGCTTCAACGACGAAAAAGTACAGGGCATGTTGCACCAGCTCGAACTCGCACTCAGACACAAGACAGCCAATTTCGGCATGGGGATAATGGAAAAAGTCATTTCGTCGTGGTTCAACGGATCTGATCCGATGAAAGACCTGGCGTGGAACGAGGTGATCAACGAGTTCAAGAAGCGTTACGGAAAGGGAGGCTACCTGGAAGGACTGATGCAGAAGTATTTCATGAATGACAAGTACATGGCGTTTACGATGAACGGGGATCCTACATATAACGACTCGCTGGTGGAACGAGAGGCCGCCCGCAAGGAGACGATGATGAAAGAGCTCGGCCAGAAGTACGGGTCGATGGAGGCCGCCAAAGAACAGCTGAAGAAGGAAGAGCTGGAGCTGCTTAACGTCCAGGAGGCAGCGCAGCAGGCCGATCTGTCCTGTCTGCCTACGCTTACGGTCAAGGATATCCCGCGGCAAAAGGAGAAGAAGGAACTGAGCGAGTCGATGATTGACGGCGTTGACGTTGTGTGGCGGCAGGCCCCGACCAACGGGCTGTCGTACGTCCAGATATTGAACGCTCTGGACGAGCTTCCGGACCATCTCAGGCTGCTGCTCCCGCTGTTCAACGACTGCATTATGCGTCTGGGCACGAGCAGCAGACGCATGGAGCAGTGGGAAGACCTGATCAAGCTGAAGACTGGCGGGATCAGCTCGTCCACTTTTGCAGCGTCCTCTCCGCTGGCGCTGGACCGGTTCTCTGAAGGGATGCAGTTCTCGGGCTTTGCACTGGACAAGAACATGCCGGAGATGCTGTCGATTCTGACCACTCTGGTGAACGAGAGTGCGTTCAGGGGGCCGGATGCACCGCGGATGATCGAGGAGCTGCTGAAGTCGAGCTGCAACGGTGCGCTGGACGCGGTGGCGGCGTCTGGCCATCGTTATGCGGTGAACATGGCGTCGTCCACGCTGTCCCGGAAGTTCTGGGCGGAAGAGCAGACATCTGGCCTATCTCAGATCCAGAAGATGGCCCAGCTGCTCCAGGACGCCCAGCAGTCGCCGGAACGGCTGCAGGAGCTGATTGGCCATCTGCAGACGATCCAGGCGTTTGCTCTGGGACGATCATCTGGCCTGCGAATCCGAGTTGTCTGCGAGGCTGAGATGCGAGCAGAGAACGAAGCTGTCCTACAGCGGTGGTTGTCTGGGTTGAAATCCACGGCAGCAGCACCAGCAGCAGCACCAGCAGCTACAGCGAAAACATTCCCCAGGCCGTCGTCGGACAAGGTGCTGTATGACCTGCCATTCCAGGTGTCGTACTCGGGTTTGGCGATGGAGACTGTGCCGTTTGTGAGCTCGTCGAGTGCGCCCCTGAGCGTGCTGGCCCAGCTGCTGACGCACAACTACCTCCATCCCGAGATACGGGAAAAGGGGGGAGCGTACGGGGCGGGAGCGAGCAACGGTCCGGTCAGGGGCATCTTCAGCTTCTCGAGCTACCGGGACCCGAACCCGCTGAACACCCTGCGGGTGTTCAACCAGAGCGGCGAGTATGCGCGGGACCGGAGCTGGACGCAGCGGGAGCTCGACGAGGCGAAGCTGAGCATCTTCCAGGGGCTGGATGCGCCCGTCAGCGTGGAGGAAGAGGGCCACCGGTACTTCCTGAGCGGCGTGACGCATGAGATGGACCAGGCCTGGCGCGAGCAGGTGCTGGACGTGAGTGCGCGGGAGGTGAGCGAGGCAGCGCAGAAGTATCTTGTCGAGGCCGGGCAGCGGTCCTTTTGCCTGCTGGGCCAGAAGAAGGACGAGTGGCCTGATCTGGAGGGCTGGGAGGTGAAGAAGATCTCGATGGCAGAGTAATGCTGTACTCTATAGACTAGATGTAGGATAGATTGTGACTGTACTATATACCACTATATACCACTTGATATGCTTGATATTGCTCGAGAGGATATCCCGCGCTACGGACAGAGCTTGACATTTTTGCATCCCTTGCTCCATGGATGGCAGAGAGTCACCCTGGTATAAGTATATACGACTTATATATATGTACTACTCAGGGGAACAGCGCAAGATTGAAGAGCAAGACCACCTCCGTCTTTCAGACCTGCCCACACCCTCAAGGCCCAAGGGGGGCGGACTAAGAATGCGAGGACATACAAAAGGTAGATGGTAGAGCAGATGTAGTGAAAGTGAGGTAGTAGTTACAGGACGGGTCTTCGGGCAACCCCCCTGAGACGGACGTAGCCGAGCCAGCAGGAACCGTCCTCGCGCGAGATGACGGAGTGCAGCAGGTCGCAGGCCGAGCGGATGGCGTCCTCGCGGGCCTGGGGAGGCAGAGTCTCTATCATGGAGGCGCCCATGAGCCTGACCCATCCTGCAATTCCGGTGTCTTTGCTTCCGGAGTCACTCCCACCGGAGAGCATGGTCGGCCTGTACTCGACCTCGAGGGAGTCGACGACAAACCCGATGCGCTCGAGGGCGTCTCGCATCCAGGCGGCCGAGGGGAAGAACCAGGGGCTGGCGTCCCTGGCCTGCTGCAGCGGCAAGCCATGGAGCACGAGCGCAGCCAGCAGGGCAGCGTGGACCTCCGCGACGTTGCCGTGGCCGCCCATTTCGAAGACAAAGACGCCACCGGGCTTGAGGCAGTCGAAGATGGCCTGCAGGACGGGGATTCTGGTGCTGGCGTCTCTCAGGATCCAGTGCAGCGCTGCGTTGGACACTCTATCAACAGTCAACACAGCACAACACAGCACAACACAGCACAAAACGCCCTTGTAGCTATTCGTAGTAGTCATAGGGTATGTAGATCGTACACCTTGTCCCAGGAGCCGTCGACAATCTCGGTCTGCCCGAGCAGCCTGCAGTCGAGCACCCGGAAGGCCGCTGGGGACGAAGATCCCGCCAGCCGCACGCGAGCAGCCTCGACCATGGCCGGCGACGAGTCGAGTCCCAGCACGGCGCCGACGGCAGAGACGAACCTGGCCGTGAACTGGCCGTCGCCGCAGCCGACATCGAGCACTCTGTCCTCGCGGCGAGGCTGCAGCAGCTGCAGCACCGAGTCCGTCAGCCGGGGCACGAAGCCCGCCGCCGCTGCGTAGGCCTAAGTATCGTCAGTCAACACAGCCCGTACTCCGTAGAAGCCGGTGATAATTCGCACCTCTGAGGACCAGCCGTCCCTTTCTTCTGCCTGCATCTGCTCGTATCCCTTGAGCTGTCTGTGTGCGTCCAGTGTTGTGTGAGTGTAACGGCTCGCCGGCGCCACCGTCCACGCTCTGTCTGCAGCCACCGCTCGGCCAAGGTCGCCAAGGGCGCAGCTCGGGATCGCAAGTCGACGATGGAAGCTCCTGTCGATGCGACGGACGGGCAGAGGACGAGAGAAGAGCAGGCGATGGACGGGCGGCGGTCGAGGTTGCGGAAGAGATGCTGCCGCGAAGATGTTGGCCGGCGGTTGTTGGTCTTTTATATCCAAGCAGTCAACGATACACCAAACATCTACATCTACATCTACATCGACAGCAACATCGCCAGCATCGAGAGCAATACCCACAGTCCAGAGACCCATCGATGTGCATTGCCTGCGCGTCCGAGCAAGCCGGCCGATCAGCAGGAGGCAGGCGGAAGACTGGAAGACCGAAATCTCTGCTGCGATTCTGATTCTCCCCCGTACTCGCTGCAGCCTGTTCAATGCCTCATGGAGCCCGCAGACGGACGAAGCGACGAGAGCGACCGCTACGAGCAGGCGGACCCGCAGAACCATGAGCAGAAGAAGAAGAAGAAGAAGAAGAAGAAGAAGAGCTGTGAACCGTTCCCGGCGCTGCCAGAGCTGCCTGTGCCCCCCGAGAGCCTCGAGATGGCGACTCTAAACACCCCAAACACGCTGGAATCGCCAGCATCGCCGGCTTCACGATCGAGCTCGCCCATCTCGGTGGCCTCGGGCGAGCTGGGCATCGTCGCCTCGCGCCGCCCGACCACCGAGAGCGTCCTGACGACGGCCAGCAGGCAGCCCAGCGGGCCCTTTGCCGGCCTGCAGCGCTTCTGGTGGGCGCACATCTCCATCCGCGTCCCCAGAAAGCAGAACCGCGACCACTTCGGTACTCCCACCCCCTATAACCGTCTATGTTGACTGAGATATCCGTACAGCTGACAGCTTAGCCCTCGAGAGAACGTACCTGGCGTACATGCGCACCTCGCTGACGTTTGCCATGGTCGGCGTCCTCATCGCGCAGCTCTTCTCGCTCAACCACGCCGTCGTCCACAACGCCGACTTTGGCTTCCACCGCGTCGGCAAGCCGCTCGCCTGCGTCTGCCACCTCCTGGCCGTCCTCGTCGCCCTCGCCGGGGCCTATCGCTTCTGGCGCCAGCAGCATGCCCTCGCCCGCGGCAGGGTCCACGCCGGCGGCCGCGAGCTCAACTTCATCGGCCTCGTCTCTGCCGCCGTCGTCGCCGTCATCTTCGTCCTCGTCATCATGATCAGTGCCCG